CTTTGAAGAAATTTCCAACAACCCACCACATTTTCTTCCAATGGCTTCAAAGGTTGAACTGGTCCAGTAGTACAAAGGTAGGTCCTTAATGGTTAACCAGCCCCCGTAACCTTGAGTGTAATCGCTTCTGTTATGCAAATAAGGGCTCCACTTTTCTAATTTTAAATGAAAATTCCCTATCCTCCTCCATTTTCCGGAAAGCTCACAAGGCTTGAGAAATCTATCACCTGTGAACTTCAAAAGACCCTTATCAACCATGATGGGATTTATCACACAGTCAAGTGTGTATTTCTCTTTTAAAGCTCTGGTGATCGCCTTCCAATCATCATGTGAACAGGCCTTAGAGACAACCATTAGGCGATTCCAATCCAATTCTAATACCTCAGCTTCTTTTTGAACCCAATAGCCTTGGGTATGGACTGTCTTAAGCTTCCCAGGTTCTACTGCAATGCTTCGAAAGCTGTCAAGGGACTTGTCAGATGCAAATTCTCCTCTTCCGGCTACCACCTCGGCATAGGACCTTTCGGTTCTTGAATGCTTCTTCTGTACTACCAAGTCCTTTTCAATAGTATTCGTTGGAACTATCGTATTCCCATCTAAAACARCGTTCTTGTCAAGGATAGAGCAACCGGCCTTCACTAACGTTTGAGCTTCTGTTATTTTGACCGAGAAAGTCTTCAGCATCTTCCAGAAAACTTTCCAGCCATCCTTCTTCGAACCAGCAGGGACGATAAGATTCTTTCGACCACCTGTGGAGGGCCATAACACCCACTCCAAGAACCAATTCCCATTAGTTCTAAACTTCTGAATACGACATTGTCCATAATCATCACGAAGCTGGAAAAATAACGAAGCAAAGATCGGTTGCTGAGTAACTTCCTTCATATGCTTTTCGAACCATAAGAATTGCGTCGAATGCAATGTCATCAAGGCATTTCTTTTCACATCTTCTATTATAAAAATGTCATTTTCAATCCAAATGCAAAAAAATGAATCATCAATACGACAACTGCTAATTTCCATTCTGAATAAACTGTGTGAATCTCAGAACCACTTGCTGTTGACTACTTAAGGGGGAATACAAGGAAAGCAGAAGGCTATGGCCTGAAAAACTCACCGGAAAGGGGCACCAGAGAGGGGGAAGCTAGGTAGTGGAGGGGGGAGGGTGAGAGAGGAGGGAGCATTTTCGGCTTTTGGTTTTAATCAACCAATACAGACTTCAGTGACAAGCTGTGAAAGAAGAATCCTGTCCAAAAGTTCTCAACATCCGGCAACCAATTTCCCTACATTATATTTTACATGTTTTAATTTTAACAAACATAAAATGAGTTTATAATATGAAGTAATATATCATCTTCAAAATTTCAAATTCTGAATCTGAAAACACTGAAAACATAAAAAAGTCGTTTTCAGAATTTCTATTATTTGGATCACAGAATCCGAAAACAGTTTTAAAAAATGAATATCCAAAATCCTGTCAAATGCGTATTCGTTGAATTCATTTGATTCAGTGAATCTGAAAACAAATAATCTGAGTTTCCAACCAAATATACCCTTAACCATCAATCTTTCTTCCAAAGCACTTTATTTAGAAAGTCTCAATAAGCCTTACAAAATCAATCTTAAGATTCACCCCTTCCTGCTTACGAGATCCATAGTCCTTAATTGCCTCAATTGGCTTCGAGAGCTTGGTCTAGGATTTGCTTCCTGCAACAAAGGCATCCTGGAAATCAGAAATCGGCTTGGGGAGAACTTTCCTGGGCCCATCAGCCAAAATCTTAACCAACATCTTATACACACTCGTAACCAAGTTGATCGGTCTAAAATCCTTAACCCTCATTTCCTTCTCTTTCTTAGGGATAAGAGAAATGAGGTATCATGCAGCGAGCTATCCAAGATTTTCCTCTCATGTAACTCACTAAGGACCTTCCAGAGGCCCCTGCAATCCCAATTATCTTCGAAAAAAGGTCACAGAGAAACCATTTGGACCTAGAGTTTTATTCCTATCAAACTCGAACACCATCTTGACACCTTCCTTATTTTCCAATTCCTTTCTAGAGCTCACAGAAATAGGACCCAATCAAGCCCATCTAGAAAAGGTTCAGGGAGACCTCCAGGGCATAAAGAGATGAAAAAAGGAAATAACCTCGTCCTCTATCTCCTTGTCCCCATTAAAAGTCTCACTTGCAGTATTTT